CTCCCCTGCTCCCCCGCTCCCCCCTGGGCCCTTGTCCTTCCGGTCTGCCGGCCTGCCATGCAGGGAGCGCCACGTCCATGCGTCCGTCTTCTGACCTGCCTGCCTCCCGGGCCATGCACGCTCACCGGGGGGGACAGTCCTCTCGAAGAACCACTATGCCTCGTTCATGCGTCCGGTGGAGCCGACCAACACCTCGCTCACCGAGTACCGGACGTCCATCACCATCAATGACCTGAACCAGCTTAACCAGGAGCTCTTTGCCCGGGCGCGTCTGATCGGCAAGCAGCCGGGCGACAGTACGTGCTCTTGGGCGCCCTGCTGGCCCTTCTGGCCGGGCCATGCGCCGGCCCGTTGCCCTTGCCGTTTCCTGACCCGTGCCTTCCCCCTCTCCGGGCCCTGCGTTTGTCCTGGGCCCCGTGTGGCCGGGCCCGACTGTCAGAGCTTGGCAGTGACCGTGTGTTCATCACGGTGGTGCTGTCCGGCCGGTCGACCGGTGGTGCCGGGCAGCCTGACCCGCTGGATGGCCTGGCTCTCCTGTCGGGCGAGGCCACCGTGCCGGCCATGTCGCTCCCTGCCTCCGGATCCTCGGCGCCGGAGGACTGGAAGCTCCTGGCCCAAGCCCAGGAGTACATCATGGTTGGCTGTTCCTCCAAGAAGGTGCGTGTGGTGATGGTGTTCCGTGCATTCTCTCTCCCTCTCTCTCTCCTTGCCCGAGAGGGGGGCAGGCGGGCATGCGGAGGCCAATGGCGCCTTCCAAACTCACCTCCTCCCCTGCCTCCTCCATGATCTTGTCCTGTCCTTCTCTCTCTCTCTCTCTCTTTCTCTCTCTCTCTTTCTCTCTCTCTCTCTCTCACACACTTTCTATCCCCTCCTCCCTTCGACGCACTCGGCCGCGCACGTGCGCACACGCCCGTCACAGACCGAGGAGTGCAACTTCATCCCGCTGGCCCACATTCCGCGCATCGCCTCGTATGACTCCTTCAAGCTGGACATCACCTTCCACAGTGAGCACTCGCAGCAGTTCCAGAACATTGCCTCCATCGAGTATGAGGTGCGTGAGGAGCACTCGCGTGTGCGCCCGGCATGCCTGCTGTCGATGGCACATCTGACTCCCGCCCCCCTCCCCTCGCCCGCTCCTCGCGTCGGCCGTGTGTGTCCACGTCTGTCTGTCCGGCCTGCGTGCGTGTGTGTGCAGCTGTCCTTCGACAACCCCCGGCACACGCTGATGGTCATCTACATGCGCTTCACCATGGTCCTCTGCGGGATCGTGGCCCTCACGGCGGCCCTCTACTGGATGCGGCACTTCCCCTGGTCCGAGTGGACCTTCGACCAGCACTGGCTCATTGGTCTGGGGTTCGCCTTGATCGCTTTCAACAGTGCGTGGCGGGCCTTTTGCACCTCCTCTCCTCGGACCCCTCGCGGCTCTCCGCTCTCCCGGCCCGCGCCCCTCCTAACCTCCCTCCGTGCCTCCCCCCTCTCACTCCCCCCTC